ACAACACACAACACACAACACACACACACAACACACAACACACAACACACAACACACAACACACAACACACAACACACAACACACAACACACAACACACAACACACAACACACAACACACAACACACACCACACCACACCACACCACACAACACAACCAACACACACACACACACACACACACACACACACACACACACACACACACACACACACACACACACACACACACACACACACACACACACACACACACACACACACACACACACACACACACACACACACACACACACACACACCTATCACAAGCATCACACACGCCGCATCACAGATATCACATACATTCTCATGCAGCACACACTTTGCATACATTATATACATCTTGCTTACGTCACATACACACTTCCGACACACACAGTCCCACAGACATCATTTTGCATAATGTGACTTGCTTCTGAATGACCTGTTAAGCCTTGCCTGTCGCCAATGGACCAACGTGCGTGAGGCGCATTTCTTTGAGGGTATCCCGGATCTGTGGCAGCTGAGCCGCAAGTCTACGGAGGACCCCCGAGCTTGGATCGTCAGTCTGGAGAGTCTGTTCTGCTGGATGGACAAATGGCTGTGGTGTGTCAAGATTTGCATGTAATCAGAGACCATGTCCTGCATGTGCGGCTCCTTTCTGCAGTTGCGTTGTGGGTCTGAAGCACCGTGTGTCAAGCGGTTTGGGGCTATCCCCTGCTGTTCAGAGGAAGTGTTTCAATGCCCAGGCCGATGGGACTGAAGAATGCTGAGATGTGGTAGCACACACGAGAACACACCTACACACATCTGAGTAGCATTTGGTATGTGTTTTTCGTTTTCAAACCCGCAACACGAGTTCTTCACATCCCAGATCTCTTGCGGTGTTTTTCTTTTTCCAAGGCAGCGCAGCCGCTACGATGCCACCGGCTGTTTGGTCATCAGCGTGTAGGCAGGGAGCGAGGGAGCAGTTTTGCGTTTGCTTTGGGAGGGGCCAAGTGCGTGTCAGAAGTCATACTCCCACACTCCCCCAAGCCAGTCAGTACCACAGGGTTCCCAACCTTTGCCTGCCTGCCTGCCTGCCTGCCTGCCTGCCTGCCTGCCTGCCTGCCTGCCTGCCTGCCTGCCTGCCTGCCTGCCTGCCTGCCTGCCTGCCTGCCTGCCTGCCTGCCTGCCTGCCTGCCTGCCTGCCTGCCTGCCTGCCTGCCTGCCTGCCCAAAGACGGACGCCCCTCCTCCAATGCCAGTCATGACCAGAACTCGCATTTTGGGCGGACTAAAAGGTTCCTTTCGCCCTGCGTGCGGCTTAGGTGATGTTTGCATCGGCTGGTGCCTGGCTGACTGCTATGAGGCCAGTCTGGCATTTAATGAATCTGCCGAGGCGCTTCTTGGGAATTACAGTGACCGCTCACGTCGCTGGAACCACTGGCAAGCACTCCAGTCGTGGTTCCAACAAAGATGAAGAACTCAACTTAGATTACAGCATTCAAGGATGTTTTTTTACTTCCAGGTAAATTCAGGCACCCACGATGCCTGGCAACTCGCTTCGGTGCACCGATGCGGCCTGCAGCTCGAGTTGTCCTGGAACTGACGTGAGAAATTCGGGCCCGGAGTCCTAGGAGTCCGTACCTGCTGGCCCTTGCGTGCAAGTTGGATCTCAGCTTTCAGGGAGGCGGAGACTTTGATTCAAACCAGGTCAACGACCGCGAGAGTCGTCAATCAAGTTTTGCTTGGAGGGATGGATTTGTTTCTCGTCAACATGTTTTTTTTTGTGCAGCAGCTCTGGTTGTCATGAACACGCGCGCGTGTGTGTGTGTGTGTGTGTGTGTGTGTGTGTGTGTGTGTGTGTGTGTGTGTGTGTGTGTGTCAATCTATTGCATCTATTGTTTGCTTGCAAAAAACAGGATAAGATAGACATCGGCATTTGCCACTGAGTCCCCGTTTTGGAGCGTCTCTGTGATGTGTCAGGCCTTTTTGGGGCAAGGCTCTGGTCCCTGGAAGCTTGGAAGACACACAAAGGCATCCCATTGGACCCCGCTTTGGCTGCACCGGCCGGCGCTTTGGCGGCTTTGCGGCTTACCGGCTGGGCATGTTGGTGGCTTTATCTCGGTTTTGAGCCTGGGGGAATCCGGGCGAAGTCTTCTTGCGGCCAAACCCTGTGCCTCTCCGATCAACAGAAGCTGTTGTCTCTCAGCCCTTCCATGAACTGGGAGGGGCTGAGAAGACGGAGAGGCATTATACCCACTGCTGAGAGTGGCCCACGTCTTCCAAGTTTTGCGGCCTGATGTGCTGTGTCAGCGGCTCGAGGGTGCCAGCCAAGCTAAGTTGGTGGCACTGCTGACAGAAGGTTGACATCGGACAGGATGCCCCTGTTTTGAGCGGCAGTCCTTGTCACGACGGTGGTGTGCTGTAGGGCTGCCGCATTCACAGCCATCAGGTACATTGTTGGATTGCAGGCAAGTATCTTCGCTCTTTATCTTACTCTCACTTGTCGAAATCCTACCTTTTGACCTTTGGGTTGTCCTATTGTGGTCTCTTTTTAGTTACGGCCCAAAAGGTTAACCTTTTATTTCCAGGTCCTTTGAGCAAGTACATACCACCTGACCCAGTGAGCAGTGCATGGTTTGAGGATGTTGCCCGTTCCTTCCTGCAATCGGACGGTTCCCTATTCAGTCGTGAGCTCTCAGTGACGCACTTTCCGATTTGGGTTTTGGCTTCGGACTTGAAGACTGGTCAGTGTTTCCCACGCAAACACGGGATTCCAGCGCTGCATCAATCACCCCCATGTCCATGAGTCTGCAAGGCATGGTTTCACTGTGGGCTCGGCGCTGGAATTCCTGCGCACCAGTCAGCCAAGATCAACTTTGCGGCCGGGGCGCTTGAAAGTGCCGGCGGGCCAGTTCCTTCCGAAACCGGAATTCGTGGGCGAGAGAAAACATGGCTGTGGTGGTCAAAACCAATGGTTTTGGGATAGGTGCACCACTCATTTTAGTGGGGATTGGGATGTTCACTGGGGGTACGGGGTTTTGACCCATGGCCACATGCCCATGAGCACACAAGGGCACACCGACTGATCCAATCATGGATCGATGATCTGGTCGATGAGTTCCTCCCACAAAGCCAAGACATCCAGACCAGAAGACAACTCAGGCCATGTGGGACAGGAAATTAGATTGACCTTCTCTCTTTTTGCGCAAGTCATCGGCGGGCGCAGACTTCAGCGAAGCTTGCCCATGCTTCGAGCTGTCCTTTTAATCTTGCCCGGTGTCGCACTCAAGTGAGATCCACTCACGACAGATGCTGTCCACAGAAGGATCACAGGCCGACCTTTATAGTCGCATTGAAGAAGTGAAGCTGTTTTGGCCCTTTCCTGTAGCCTTTCAACCTTTGACTGCGTATGCATGTGATGCACAGTAGGAGTTTGCAACACCTTTCACCTGCCACGTATTCAGGTGTACCATTCACCTCGCATTGCCATAGGAAGGGGTCCCTCAAAGTTCTGATTCCAGACAAAGCTGACCCTGCAAGACAATCTCAAAGAGTGCAAGCCGGGAAAGCAGTCGACAGCGGAAACACGGTCTTTTTCCCCCCCCGCACTTTCATCTTAAAGCTGAATTGAACATGACCGGGTTTTTTGGTGCATCTCTTTCCGTGAAGTCAACTGATCTAAGAGCATGTGGCAAAGTGGAGCCAAAGGTAAGGACGCCACTGACTCACGGCTCAGGCTTCCGGAGGCAACCGTTTTGGTTTGCAGCGAATTTGCTCTTTTTGTTGTTTTCTTTTTTGTGGGGGCGGGGTTTCTTTCTCGGAGTTTCGGCACGCTGCCATGTGAAGGCGCCCTTCTTCCATTCGTCAAGTGTGCAGATTCCAATTCGCACAGTCCCTTCAGGTCTCTCCGGATTTCGCCTTCGTTTTCTCGCGCGGCTCGAGAGACCTGATGCCTCGAAGTTTGAAACATCGCAGGGCGAGTGGTGATCTTCATAGCTGCCTGACGGCCGGAGCGGGAGGAAACCGAGCCACACGACCTGATCGCAACAGGTTCAAAATGCTGTTTGGGTGAGCGCGTCAAGTCGCGTAGATTTGGGGCTCCATGTTTGTCCAAATCGCAGACATAGCTCGGGCGTCAGGCATTCGGCAGCTTCAGGTGCGAACCTGGAAATGGTGACAGGATCAGAGCCATGGGTTCCGAGACTTACAACACGGTTTTGCCGAAAGAGAAATCGCCTCCGGCAGAGAAATCGCCTCCGGCGGAGTGGACGTTTTTTTTTTGAACCCCGATCAAGATTCCCGGGACTCTATGTGGGTATGGGTCAAAATTAAACCACCAGGGGACCACAGGTTTTAGTCGTTGTTTCCATTAACCAGGGTGCCATTTTGGGTACCTATTTTTGACCCACAGCCATATGAGGAGTCAGTGTTCATGGCGTTGGGAGATGGACAAATGGGGACAAGGGCAGTACCACACAATGAGGTTTATGAAGCGCCTTCATTGATTTTGACCATCCCATCAGCAAAGAATCGGTGATTTGTCCGGTCGATCGAGTGTGTAATTTGAAACCATTGTACTTGCTTCGGAAGAATGGAGCAGTTTTGGGAGGTGTGTTGTTGAGTACAAAATGTCAGGCTTGAATCAGCACTGGAGAAATTGCGTGTGGTTCCTCTACTCGGGTAGCCCTTAGTTGGTGGTTTGAACCAGGAGATTTGAACCCCTGGTTCTTGAGGGTACATGGGAAACCTGAAGCACCAAACCTGCAGCTGATCCCCAGCAGACCAAAACGGATCTTAGGCCAATGACCTGAGCCCCACCGGCTTTCTGACGCTGCCGTCAGCCACTCTGCGCTGCAAACCCCCTCAGACCATTCGTGTGAACGAAAAGGGGGCGGGGCGGGGCAGGGCGGGGCAGGGGGCCCCGCGCGCTTTCGCGCGTGCGGGAGGGTACTCGCCCGCATGGACGCTCCAGGTTGCACTTTGGTTTGACCTGGTGAGCCTTTCTCCCTATTCGATTTCTGGTTCTCGCGAAACCTTCTCCTTTCGCAAGGAGTCAAAAGAGACACGGTGATTGGGCCAGCTGTGTTTCCAAGGTGCTTTTCTTCTGGAGCCCACACCAAAGCTTCCGTCGAATTGCAGCGTGCGGCCCCGTGCCGTTGAAATTGAGTTGTTGCCAGACATTCCCTTCAATAGGGATGCCTAGTGTTGTGACTATAGTTCTTTATTAGGTGTTGGTTCAATCGTCATGGACACATGGGTCTTGACCACTCCAGAATGGAACACTTGGCCACACTCGGGCTTGCACATGTCAAGGCTTTGCCGGGCGATTGCGGCGTTTTTCGGCTCACAGATAGACCAATCACCCGCTCAAGCGAGGCGAGCTTACTGAGATCCCCAGTTCCACGCATCGCTTGACGTGTATCGCCCCAACAGTTCCCGTGCCGCATTCTGCTCGAGGCATGCTAGAGTCCTAGTCCCCGGGCAGTTGTTTGGCTTGCATTTGCCACAGGGCATTTTCCAATTTTTCGGCCATGGCGCTTTCACAGGCGTCGGGTGTTAGTCATGAGAGAGGGATGGGCCTGATCCAGAGGCATGCAGGTACAGTTTGCACATGGTACCATCGTGTTTTGCCGCGTCGCTGGGTTGTTTCCCTCGCAACACTTGGCAAATCCAGTGGTAGAATCTGCGTTCAGCTCCAATGTTCAATTTTGTGCTCGAGAGCAAGTGATAGCGACGTTCTGTTTGACCGGATTCAGATTCCGGGTCTCTGGGGGTATCAATTTGTGTCTCCGGCCTCCGGCTTCGCCACAGGTCAGTTTAGGTTCGGTTTGGGGTGAGGGCATTTAGGGTTTAGGGGTGGTGTAGGGTTGGTTTAGGGCGGTTTAAGTTTTGTTTAGGGGCAAGATAGAGTGTTTTTGGTTTGTTGTCGAGGGTCGTTGTACGGTTGGTTGAGGGTTGGTGTAGGTTTGGTTCAGGGTTGGTCTAGGGTCGGTGTAGGGATAGTTAGGGTTGGTTTAGGGTTGGTTTAGGTGTTGTCTAGGGGTGTTTCAGGCTCGGTGTAGGGTGTTGTAGGTTGCTTTAGGGGTCAGCTTAAAGGAGGGTTGAGCGTTGGTTTAGGGTGTTTCAGAGTTGGTTTAGGGTAAGTTTAGGGTCGGTTTATGGTGGATGTAGGGTTGGTTTACGGTTGGTTTAGGGTGTCTTAGGGTTGGTTCAGGCTAGGTTCAGTGGTGGGTTTGGTTTGGGGTTGGTTCAGGGTCGGTTTAGGGTTGGTTCAGGATGTTTTAGGTTTGGTTTCGGGTTGGTTTGGGGCAAGTTGGCAAGTTTCGCGTGTTTTTGGTGTGGCTTCCGGCCATCCGGCCCGCCTTCCGGCCCGGCCTTCCGGGCATTCGGGCATCCGGCCAGGCCATCCGGCCATCCACACAAATTCGATTTAATGTTGGAAAGTGATTAGTACAGGGCACCCCCCCCCCTCAAACGAAT